ACGAAAGTCATAAAAACAAAATTGAGACTTAAAGGAAAAAAGTAAATAATAAAACTATAAGCACCACCAGATTTTAAACCAACGACCTACAATCATGTGCAGAAAAGTTACCAAGAAGATTGTGACAGCAAAACTGCTGCTAAAAAAACCGAATTGTTTGTGACTGGGGCTGGTGTGGAAACATCTTCATAAAATATTTGTCCAAAACAAATTTCTAGGATTTCTGAAGACAGTACAGTTGGTTTCAAGTCTCTCAGTTGCCAGTGTATTGTAACTGTGATCGGCTTTCCAGTGAAGAGTCCATCGACGGCAGCACTTGGGGGGAGAGCGAGCATAAGATGACCTCAAACCACATGAATCTTCACCATATGCAGAGGTAAGAGTTTTGCAGTCCTGACTGATCTGTCGGGCCGTACTCCCTTTTCTGAGCACCCTCACTGCACACCCAGTATGCCTGTCCCCGAGAGTACAACCATAATAGCTCCCATAGATTCCACCTCTGCGAGAGGACAGTGTGAGCACAACTGAACGTACCTGCTGTTCTTTCCGGCTGTTCTTTAAGCTCCAGAGAGAGATCTAAGCTGCAGTTTTAAAAAGTGCAATGTAACCCTTCATGTTTCTGTCCAGAAGTTCCTAATGCTTTAAAAACATTTAAATGGGAGAAACAAAATGTGAATAATGCTTTTTCATTAATTATCTACTTGGAACATACTTCCAACTACACATACGAAAGAGGAAATCTGTCTTGTCACAAAAAAAAGGATCTGTTAAGACTGCAAAAGTACTTTCAATCCTGAAATGAAGTTCTAAATATCCAAGGAGACAAAAGGCAAATTAGAAAAACATGCTACAAAAATATCTGTGGGCATAAAGACCAGAGAATTTAGAAAGACCAGAATCCTCCAGAAAATTTTAAACAGCAGAATCAAACTGGCAAGTATATTTTTCTTGAGTAAAAGAGTATTTAAATTGCTTGATCAAAACTGACACCTAGAGAGCTACAGGCTAAAACAAAGTAGTGTCCATCACCTTAAGCCCAAGGTTTCCAGGATTAAAAAAAGGCATAGTAAAGAAGTAGAAATGTGGGTATCACTCTAGTTTTCCTATTTTTTTCCATGCTAATCATGGTATATAGGCTGTAATCTGAAGCAAGCAACATGCTGTCAAGGGTATTCTTATATAATCAGTAGAGAACAAACTGTTCCTTCTCTTCCTTAAATCTGTACCCAATCACACAGCCAGGCTTCAGTGGGACAGCTTTGCTACAGAGAACTTGCCAGTGACAGAACAAAGATTTTCCCCCAGACTTTTCCTTTCCCTTTTCTCCCCCTTCCTTCTCCCTCCTAAGAGAACAGGAGATACAAGAGGCTGTTCGGTAAAGCTGCCATCAAGATGATTTATGACATTGTAATTAAAATTTACAAGTCTTGTTGATGCAAAAAATATGGTTAATCTGTAAAATTTCTAGCTTGTCTTAATATATGTGTATGTGTCTATTTCACACCTTCCTTCCTTTAAAAAACACATAACTGTGCTGGTAACATCAGAAATTCTAATTAGCCACCTTTTGTGCAAATTAAGAAGTAACAAAGTGCAAAGGAAATACAGCTATATGGTTCTGGCAGGTAAAGCAGAAAAGGGAGATAAATCACATAAGCAAAGGAGGCTTCTGGGGCAGAAAAGGCTGTCTTGCAGTACTCCCATGAGAGACTTCAGATTGTAGTATTTTGTTATCACTCTCCATTTTTAATAATGAAAAAAATGTTTTGTCACATGGAAGAATAAAGAATATCAGCTACGTGTTTTCATATGGACTCCCTACGTATGTTACTACAAATAGCAGAACACAGGGTCTTGTTCATATTACATAAAGAGGATGTTTAGTGAAGAAATTCAACACACATCCTTTACAAGGCATGGATTGACATGAAATAATTCTGGCAAAGTGAAAAAAAAAAATATTCAGGTTTACTTTTCAAAAGCAAACAGCCTTTTCCTTCACTTCCTGATCAAAACTTATTAGTGACTGAACAATTTTATGGTAATATAAAGGAATATTTGTTTCATGTAATAAAGTACTAATGGGAAAACAAGAAAGTAAATATTAATATCTGATTCACAGTGCACTGTATTTTTATAAATAAAATGGATCTGCCACGTAGCCTTTCCAAATAATATTAAAAAGGTTTTTCTCTTCTCTAAAATTACTCAGCTTCCCAAAAACTGTTCAGTACTTCCTATGAAGTAGAACAACACCTAACAGTGCCAGTTAACACCAGCAAAAAATACTCCAGCCAACCTTCTAATGGAAAACAGGTTGACAAGTATTTTTTCTAGCTCACTGTAGTACCTAGCCATATCACCTCCTCTCTTTCTAGTATTTCTCTGCCTTAATTTAAGTTGGTACAACCTTTCCCAGCCCTACCAGGCTTCAGGCACAGTATGGTCCATCTATGCTCAAAAGCTTGCACAACTTCCTCCTTTAATCAGCTGCTGTGCCTGAAGAGGCTCTTCCAGCACACCTGCTCCTGTCCATAGCCCTGTGCTGTGGTGACCAGAGCTACAGTTACTGGGAAACCCTGGCATTGGAAATATTTGGCAGTAGGGCCTGGGGATGAGGTACTAGATGATGTAAAAGGTCTCCCTGCCTCAGCATCTGCACCGAGAACCTGCTCAAGAACTATGCAGGGGTGTCACCCCAGCCCAAAAATAAAAATTAAGAGTGGAACAGAAATATTTTTTAAATTCTCCAGCCAAACAGGAAAAAAACAGAGAGCAACAAGGTCAACTGCTCAGACAGCATATGCGCTCTGTTTCTGTGCAACCTTAGATCCAGTAGCCTAAATTCATCCTAGCCCACCACAACTTGCCACAAAGAATTTAACAGTAAGAATGTACTTATTATCCCTCCCCCCCGCCTTTTTTTTTTTTTTTTTAATAAAATAAGAATGTTTAGGACACATGCTGCATATCCAGACTGCATCATACCCAGTACCTTCATTACTGATAAGATGTCCAATCTCATTTACAGGCTCCCTGCCAACTACTGTTGTTCACATGAAGGCAGCAGACCCTCTCTTCCCTGCTCCCTAGAATTTTAGACAGAGCCTTGCCAAAGTCGTCCAGCACCCTCTAGAATCTTTTGCTCTGGGGGGTGCAGGATACAGTTTAAAACATCAGAGAAAAGAGTTTAAGAGATTATTCAAGGGTCTGCTGAGCAGTATTCTGCAGTCAGTAAAATGCTTCAATAGCATTTTGAATCCCACTTAAATTTAATATTTACACCGAGTACATCATTGTACTGAAACTTTTAATGTCTAGATCTGTGGATTTGGATTTTTAAAAGGATTTAATTTTACACACTAAGGAATAAATTAAGAAAGACAGCCCCACCTGCCGACAGAACAGTCACATTACAGAGGGAAAATGAACTTGTTGGCCAGGAAACACAAGTTTTCTTTCCACCTCTCTCATGCAGACCCCAAAAACACTTCACTCCAGCACTGCAGGAACTCAAATCTTTTTCCCTTTACTCACCATGTAAACTCAGCTGACAAATCAGTTTTTTATCCTTTCTGGAATTCACTGCTCCTTGACAGGGTAATGTATGAACTATATTCAGTAGTGTCAGAAAATACAGTTCCACAAAAGCCAATTGAACAATCAACTGAAACCTATCTGAAGAGTTCATCTGCATATTTTGTCTCATGCACTACCTCCTGTGCTCAGGACTGTAAGAACACTTTATCAAAACAATAAAGTACAGTGCTCTTAAGTATTTTGCAACTTCAGTGAAGTTTATTTTCCAGTAATGGGAATGCTTTTTAATTTGAGATCCTTTGATCTCTCACCATTTAGGTTTTTTGGGGTGTTTTTTTTTTTGGTTTGTCTTGTTTGTTTCTTTTGTTTTGTTGGTTTTTGTTGTTTTGTTTGTCTGCCTTTGGGGGTTTTTTGTGTGTGTGTGTGTGTGAATAGCATAATTGTGTAATTTTTTTTCAAGAGCTTTATCATTTAGTAATAACCTTTGTCTCTTATGCTATGTCACTAATCATTTCTAAATAAAGATTTTAATAGTCATCAAAAAATTCTTTCCCCCGCCCCCTTCCCTCAAAGCTTAAATTTCTATTAGATTAGCTGTTCCAAAGAACACAGAGAACTGCCAAGAGAAAGTGGCAAAATTTCTTCCCTTCCCTTGCCTATGCCTGGCACAATCAGATCTCTTGGAAGTACCTTGCCTTTCCTTTACTTTAAAGCCTGTGAAACAACCAGTGACGAGTTGTCCCACAATGAGTTAATTTTTGAGCATACAAAGTGAGGAGGATGCTGGATGGAGAGGCCAATGCTGCCAGTAACTCCCCACGATGTAACTCATAGTCCCTCCTCTATTTTTCCCTCTCTAAGTTACACCCAGAAAAAACATCTGTCACTTCCTCTCAAAGCTCTCGAGCACAAGCTTGAGAAGTTCACTTCTGATATCTTCTGCTCTTATGAGAACTGACAACACTGTAGGAAGCAGCACTGCTGTAAGGACAATTAAAACTGGCAATCTTTCTGTAATGCTTAGCAAATAGGAATTTTTTTTCCTCTTTGGTGACAAATTAATTATTAACACACTAGATAATGGGAAGCACAAGGGTGAATTAAGTATCACCTTGTAACAAGCGGGACAAGAATTGAATTTCCATCATGATGTACAGTAATAAAACAGAACAAAAAAATCCACAGAAACACTGCCACTTGGACACAGGAAAATGTAACTTTACTGATCTGTCAATGCTACAGTGTTTCCAGTGAAGAAATTAATGTGTGGAAGTTGATGAAGCTTTATTTTTTCATTAGCTTGTTGCAAGGCATAAAAAGTGATGCAGCACGATATTTAGCAGAATTTGAAGCCTATGTTCCTGTATACCAGGGACTGTTTGATTAACAGTTCTTTCACTAAGTTTTACAATCAATGCATTCAGTTATATTCCACTAATCAATGCAAAACCAGAGATTAATTATTCAGAATCCTTTTATTAGCAATAAGGAATATAAATCTCTTATGAAAATATTCTTAACATTTCAATATATAAGAATTGTCTATAAAAATATACTACTACATAACAAAGCCAGTAAATTCTACAAAACATATAATTCAACATATATTTAACAATATATAGGACATAGCAAAAATCCTTTAATTAATGCTGAGGGTATTTTACCCCCTTTTTGTCAAACAGTAATTCACATAACATAGGAAATTACTCATTCTGATATACATAAGTTATCACCATAGAACTCTATGTGTGTTCCCCCCTGAAGTCACCTGCATCTGCAGGAACATAAAGCCACAACTTTTCTTTGGATATACAGGCAGTTATGACCGCAAAAACATTCTGCTGGTAGATGCAATGTCCTGCTGAGGTCAGTGATCACATCTGCTGTCAGCACTGCCAACACTGAATCCATGCAGGGACAATGTTTTTATTACCCTTGTGTGGCTGATGCCACAGATGAGCCTGCCATGGTAATCATGGTAAGTTAGAGAACTAAAAATCAGACTCTTCCTGGGTAACTACTGCTAGTTAGCAAGGAAATAACTTCAAAAGAGGCTGCCTCCCTAGAAATAAACCCTCCAGCAGACAACTCTTAAACAAAAGCTCAAGGAAGAGAAAATACCATGGGAGTAGTTATTATTTTTTAAATTATGATCAAGGGAAATACAATCCATTTAGTCATTACTAATTCCGGGAAGCGCCATCTTGGACCGCTTTTTGGAACTGGGAATCTGTTTTCAGAATAAAAATTACACATTTAACTAGTAATATCACCAATGCTGTTATGCTGAGGTTATTTCATGCCTGGTGTTAGATAGATGCTGGAAATCCATTTTAATTATATAGATCACCCTTGTCTACACAATGAGCTTGTCAAATTCTCAGTGTAGACTTATTTAAAAGCCCTTATTTAAAGGGCTTTTAGAGCACACTTTAAACAACCAACTGAACCTGAAAGAAATTGGCTGCTGCACAGTGACAGTACAAAGCCATCAGCTTTCTAAAGAAGAGTTGGGTACATAAGGCATTAAGGCTACAAAGTCTCACTGAAGACCACCTGCAATTACAGTGTCTTGCATAGTAAAGAACAAATGAACCAAATTTATGATGCATCAGTAACAACTAAATCTTTTTATCCCTATGTTTCTGTGCAAAATAATCAATAATTATTACTCCTTCTATTCAGAATCCACTGAAATCAGAACATTGAATGAGTATGTTGAAATTCAACAGAAACTTAACATTATAACAAAGCAATTGCAATGCAACAATATTCCACCCTATTACATAGGAAGGAGTTGCTATTAGAATAGCATATTTATAAAGTAAAGATCACAGCAGGACACTATAGACAACGAACATCAATATATTTCTGACTCAAAGCTCAGAAAAATACTTTTGACCCTGAGAAATTTGCTGTATTAAAAAGCTAAAGAAGATAAAAATGTAAAAGAATCAAGGCTCAGCCAGTTTCATTTCTGATTCTCAAACTGTTAATTTTTGAAGGAAAGTTTTACAATCGCAACAGAAATTTTAAGAAATATTTTCAATTTAAAAACCCCAGCATTTCATGGTATGCACACTGTTGTAGTTTCATTAAGGCTTGCAACTAATATTTAGGTTTTTAGCCTATATTTGAGAGGATGAAAAATTTTAAAATTGAGGTGGTTGAAGAACTTAAAGCTTAAATGTCTTTAATTCCCAACATCATCTAAAAAAACCAATTACAGAAACTAGCTTGTCATGCTTTATGGATAGAGAAGCCCTAGTCAAGTCCTTCAGTCTCATTCCAGTTAAACAGTTTCCTAAAAGATCAATCAAAATCAAAACAATGTTCCAAAACATAAATCCTCCAACACAGGATCTGGTTTAGATTATTATTTTAACAACTTAAATATTTAGCAAGGTTTAAGAACAGCAAGAGGAAATAAGCAGATGAAGCCATAAGGAAACCCTGTATGTTTGAACAAAGAAAAAAAACAATCATCTGGGGCTTTTGGCACAAGAAATATAGTGAAAGAGTTTCTGCTATAACTTGAGACAAAAATTACAAACCTCTATACCTAGATGTAGATTTCTGGTCATGTAGCATATTTTCTACATTTACTTATGTGTTAAGGGCTAGAAAACAATCCTTTCTTCAGTAAACTGTTCTTCTCTACTAAGTGTAAACAAGATTGATTGAAATCACACGGATGTTTTTTAATGTAAGCTTCCACATAATTTTTCTTCTGTACTGACAAAGCAGCATTCATATGATGTAATTTAAACCAATACCAAATTCTACTTCCTAATGTTTTTATACTGTCATCAAGTCTAGGCTACTCCGGTTTTGCCCTCCAACAACCTTACTAAGCAGGCATGTACTGGATCAGCTCCCTGGGGTAGCTCATCACATAACCACATAAGCATTGAGCCAAGGGGAGAGAGCAGGCCTAGCTGACAATCCAAGTCTGCATCAATCTGAACAGCTTTGGAACCACACCTTTGTAAGTGGCAATTCAGACACATGCATATTACACAAGAAGTGAAGCAGTAAAAAATGCAGTCTGTTTTCCTTCCCTCCCCTGAAAGTTGCTCTCAATGGCAGCGATGGTTAAGCAGCAGAAAAGCAATCCCAGTTCACAGTTTCAAGTATTAAGCAAAAAAGGGTGCCAAACTGGAATTTTTTTTATTATGTGAGGCTTTTAAGAGATAATAAAGCAGTTTCCTGACCTTGTCAGCAGTAGCTGAGCTTCAGTGTTCAGGAAAAGCAGAGAACAGTCAGCTGTAAGCAGGAACTGGTTCTACCACTCAAGTGGAATCTTCTCATGTCCATAAACACATTCAGATTCAGGGTGCAGGTTTTACCTACAGAAACTTGGACAAAGACAGCTCCTCATATCCAGATACATGGAAAAGGTTTTTCTGTGAGGTAATGAAAAACACCTGGAGGACAATTCAATCATTGGTCCCAGCCAGCACAGCTTCATGAATGGCAAGTCTTGATTGTCAAACCTGATTTTCTTCTACTAAAGGGTAGCCCATCCAGTCAATCTAGGAAAGCCAGTACAGTACACATAATCTTTTTGGACTTCAGCAGATACTGTCACAGCATCCTTCTGGACAAAATGTCCAGCACACAGCTGGATAACTGTGTTACACGATGGGTGAGCAACTGGCTCACAGGTCAGGCACAAAGAGTTAGAGAATGGGGTGGCATCAGGTGTCCAGTCTCTAATGGGCTCTAGTTCAGCCCAGTTCTCTTCAACATCTTCATTAATGACTTGGATGCAGGGCTCCAAGGAATATCAGGTTTGCTGATGACACTAAATTGGGAGGAGCTGTTGACTCCCTCAAATGCAGGGAAGCCCTGCAGATACCTCAATAAATTGGAGAGCTGGGCAATCACCAAACATAAGAAGTTTAACAAGGTCAAGTGACAGATTCTGCACCTGGGGTGTGGCAACAGACAGACTGGGGAAGGAGAGACTGGAGACCAGCACCACAGAAAGGGATCTGGGGGGCCTGGTGGATGGCAAGGTGAGCAAGAGTCAGCAGTGCCCTGGCAGCCAGGAGGGCCAAGGTGTCCTGGGGGACACCGGGCACAGCATGGCCAGCTGGGCGAGGGAGGGATTGTCCTGCTCTGCTCTGCACTGGAGCTGCACTGAGTGCTGGGGGCAGCTTTGAGTGCCATAAGGTAAGAAAGACATTAAGCTCTTAGACAGCTTAATGGAGGGCCATGAAGATGGTGAAGGGTCTGCAGGGAAAGACTTATGAGGAGTTGCTAAGGTCACTTGGTCTGTTCACCCTGGAGAAGAAGAGACTGAGGGGACACCTCACTGAGGTCTTCAACATCCTCATAAGGGGAAGTGCAGGGGCAGGTGCTGATCTCTTTTCCCTGTAGTCGGTGACAGAACTCAAGTAAATGCCCTGAAGCAGAGTCAGGAGAGGTTTAGGCTGGATATTAGGAAGAGGTTCTTCACCCAGAGGATATTTGGGGACTGGAACAAGGTCCCCAGGGAAGCAGTCACAGCACCAAGCCTGTCTGATACAAGGAACGTTTGGACAATGGTCTCAGGCATATGGTGTAACTCTTGGGGTGTCCTGTGCAGGACCAGGAGTGGGACTCAATGATTCTGACAGGCCCTTTCTGACTCAGTATATTATGATACTCTGACCCTAAAGTACTATTGCATTCCATGCATTTGGGATTGAAGTCCCTGGATCTGCCCTGACAGGATGCAATGCTTATTGGCAAAGGAAAAGACATGTGACCAGACACCTACAAATCAAAAGAAATGTCCACCACCTTTAGTGATTTAGAAAAAAAAAAATCTAACAAGTGTACAGAACACAGCATTCTCTTTTAGAAAAACACTAGACTGAGTAAGTAACTGAAAACCTCCTCAAGATACAAAGGACCAAATAAAGATTCCAATTAAAATTGTCTTTACACTTTACTGAGACAAGACCCAAAAGTTTCAACTTGGGAAAATTCCACTTCCTGATACTAAATGTTTAGTCCTCCTGAAATGTGAAGGACACCAAGATCAGTAATAAAACTATTTTTCTTTAGTATTTGTTGCATTCAAGATAAAGCCTACAAAAGTGAGAAGATGTGTAAGAGAAATGATAAACACAGACTTAAAAGGGCCAGCATGAAAAGTGGGACTAAAGTTGCCCACTAGGACTGCCTGATGCAGTGTGGATGCCTGAATGTGATGTGTATGCATAGTGTCACCCTTCCACCAAGCTTTCCTCAAACCTCTTCTGTAGAATCTCTGTACGACCTTGGCCAACTTGCATTTTCTGTGAAGCTGCAATTACATTGCACTCTTGTACATTCTTAGGAAACAGGCAAAAGCTCTAATGTAAATTCTTCTAAGTTTATGAAGGCAAAGGAGACTCAAACTTGGTCTCATAAAGAACTTTTGTTTAGAAGGATCTAAAAAGGGTCATAAGAAGCATTAAATATAACCTATATTAAATACCTAAAAAATATAATCTTTTGCATAGAATAAAGAAAAGTGCAGCTACAGCGCAGCAGTCCATACCAGAAGAAAGGGCTAATTTATGTGTGGTACAGAATTAACTGTTGTCTCTCATCTGAGACTGCAGCAACTAAAGACATGTTTACAGGGAAAACAACTTTTGAAAAAAAAAAAGGTGATTAGGTTGTTTCATTATGTCTGTGAAGTAAGTACAAACACTTAAAACGCTTTTTTTTTTTAAAAAGCAAACCTGATAGGTAATTTTCACAAGTTAATTTTCTCTTGATATTACTTGGAAAAATTAAATCACTTTTGTTTTTTTAGAATCCAAATTAAATCTTCATTTGGCATCTGCATGTGCTAAATAATAATTAGAAAGCTTATAGAAGTACAACCTTTATCTGTTCTATAAAAGCTGGTTGTTTACGGATTATCAACTCTTCATTCCCTTCTAACTTTTGTACTGCAATCCCTGTGGTAATCAAGCACAGAATATTATTAAGTCTGGGAGACTTATTTCCACTGCTCTGAAAAACAGAGTCTTAAGTGGAGGGTCAGGAACTTTAGGAAAATAAATATTGTACACTTTTGAAAGGAAGCAATATCTTTGAAGTATCTTTCTACTGCCCATATTAGCATGCCTAAATATAACTAAGGAAAGTATATACCTCATCAGTTGCTAGTACATCTTCAATTTTGGTTAAAAAAAAATCAACTTATTTTACTGGATATAATTTGGTACTACAATTTGGTAAATGGGATATTTAAATAAATAAAAATAAATATTGTATTTATATATCTTTCAAGATTGCTTGTTTGTGTAGTGAACTGGTGTCTATATCGTTAGATTTCCCTCTGTTTAGCTTTTTTCACACTGTGTCTCCACTTACGAATGACGGTTCCGGAACTACTGGCTACTACACAAAGGGCACCACCCACAGTCCACCAAGTTGGCAGATGATCGAGAAAAAGAACTTGTAAAATAAAAGCAAACACCACATCCATTGTTCTCATTATTGATACAGGTCCAGCTTTCTCTATTTGTAATGCTTTTGTGAGAAATATCTGACCCCCCAACCCTAACAAGCCTATTAATATTAGAAAAACCCTATCTTTACCACAATGTGGTAAACGCCATTCATTCAAAATAAACAATGCTATAACACATCCAATTAATCCAATGACTGCATAATACCAAACTGACACAAAATAATGCACAGACTTTCCCACCTTCCTTAGTATAACAATAGTTGAAGCTGCAGAAAAGGTGCTTGCAATCGCTGCTACAGTTCCTTTAACGTGATCTGAGTAACTTCCTTCAATCCCTGTAACACGTGAGCCAAACAGAAATGGTGGTCTGGCAATAAGAATCACTCCAGCGACTGCAAAGAGAGTAAACAGAACATCCCAAAGGGTGTATTTCTCTTTGAGAAAGATCCATGCCAGCAATGACGTAAAAACAGGACTGGTGAAAGTTATAACAGTGGCATCAGCTAGTGGCATGACTTGGTAAGCGTAGTAGAGAAGAACCATTGCAGTAGAGCCAAGGAATCCTCGGAAGAAAAGAAAAATTCTTTTACCTTTTGGTCCCAAAAACCCTGTTCTGAAAAACAGAAATGTCACATTAATGTCACTATCTCGTTTATTTCATGACTAACATCCAAACATATTTAAGTATGGTACACACCTTTCTAGACAAGGGAGTTTAATACCCAAATATTCTTAACTATCTGATCACAGATCATTTTATTTCCATCATGACCCCCAATCACATTCAGAGTCCAGAACCTGTTCTTCTAGTGATTAATTTTTCACTTGCAAAATAACCCAACAGTATCTACAAATTACGTTCTGTTTTTTTAAGATCACCCCTTTGTGGAAATCAAAGCATTTGATACAAATAATCTTAGTAGAAGCCTCTGCCATTCAGGGAGTCAAAGATTTTCAGTTTTCTGAATCATATTAAGAAACAACCAACTAATCTAAAACAATGCAGTTATGCAACTGAAGTCCAAACTAAAATAACAAGGCATTGCAATCATATTTAAGTGAGTGATAATTCTAGATCTAGTTTTAAGAAATAACTTGAAATTTAAACTTTTTTTACACTTACTTGTAGTATATTAAACCAGGAACAACAAATGCCATTTGGAAAACACATCGAAATGCACTCACTTCCACTGAATGTATATCTTCTATTTTTTTAATAAACAAGGAGGCCACTGAGAAAAGGAAGGCAGACAGCATGGTATAAAACAGACCAAGTCCTGGGCACCTTTTCTTCTTTGCCCCTGCAACAGATAAACTACAGTTAATAAGGATCTATTAGAAGACTTCTCTGATCAGGCAGCTCTGCAGACTGCAGTGCTCCACAGATCTGTAGTGATTTTTGTGATGGAGAACAGGGGAACCAAAGAAACAAACGCAAATATTATGTGTATTTACCAAACCTACCATGAAAATACTTTCCACTGACCATCATGGGTCTTCTTTTTTTTTGAAACAGGATGTAAGGGATGAACTCTAACACCTGGGATACAAAACACTGCAGTTCTACACGAGTTAGTAGATTTAACTTCTTGCAGGTATCAGACTAGCACGGGTGATTTACTATAGAGACCAGTCACAATTCTGCCCAGGAACCAATAAATGTAACTGGCTACAAAGTCCATGGTCAGATTCTGAAACTATGATCTTGGGAATCAGCTGCTTAGTTAACTAAGGCTCCTAAGCAAAAATTTAATTTCCTTTCTCACAAATACACAATATAAAATCTATGTACAGAACTTCATTTTTGTTATACCTCATGTTTATTTTGCAGCTAAATCACCCTAAATCTGACCTAGACCAATAACGTTTTTATCTTGCTGTAAGAATCCAAATATTTTCTTGAAATAGGCATCAAATACAGATTTTTAAGTAGAATAAATTTAAGTAACTAATGTTAGAACATCAAAGGCCTGATATCTATCGTAATTCCATGAAGACCTTAGTTTATGCTTATTTATCAGACTTCCCCTTCCTGAAAGTTTCCCAAGTCTAATGTTTCTATTCAAGTTTCCTCAATGCCTCAGGCTCTCTTCAACAACATACTCTTCCTCATTCCACTCATTTTCTCTACACTAAACTAATTAAGAAAAAAAAAAAAAAAGCAAGCAAGAATAGGGAGAACTGTGAGACAGAGAACTGTGTTGAGGTCAGCAGCAGCAATCTCCAAAGAAATCAGCCTTTTTTGTTATTGCTTTGTTGCATAAAAGCAACAGTATTTCCACTGAACCTAGAGGTGAACACCAAGGAAAATAGAGCCCATCTAAAAATTTGAGTAGGATGTCACCTCAGTATCTCTTTCTTTTTCTCTACCTGCATAAAACATTGGGAGTGACCTTTTCTTCTGTGACTCCCTCTAAAGATAGGAGCCAGAACTCTATGTCCCAGAGGCAGTGTTTTGATAAAAGGGTGTCTCATCTCACACTAGTGTGGCAGCCTGTGAGTCTCACGGATTCTCTAAAACATCATCAGCTGGGTACTGCTGCAAGTTGCTTAGCAACTAAGTATGGTTTTGAGAGGTTTTTGTTTTGTTTTTTTTTTAATTAACAAAACTTGTCACAAACCATTGTGATCCTCCTTGAGATCAGCACTCAAGGGTGAGAAACTGCATCTTACTGCCTAGAAGGGGAGACTGCAGGCTGACAGTCCTAGGACCCAGGCTTTACAACAGCAACCACAACCTGAAGTAGGCAAAAGGTTTGCTTCTCAAGGAATCCTGACACATTGCAGCTGAGAGTTACAGCTTCTACTTGAAATATTTCTGTTTAGCAACAGCCTCTTGCATAAAACTGACTATAAAAACTACCAACACTGGACCAGGACACCCACCAACTACGAAACAAAGTGAATTTAAAAAATGTTCATGAACTACGTAATGTCTTAATCCACACAGTCACATAAGAGAACTACAAAATTAACAGTCTCTGATATTGAAACAAGGGGAATCAGACTGGCTTATAACTGAAATGGGAAATCCAAACCCAGGCTGGCTTAGGGATGAACACAGCACAAACAGAACTATTAACTTCTGTCTCAGGCATGATAGCTTCTCTGATTATTATAGAATGAAGCCAACCTAAATAAAGGAAGCGTTGAAATGGAAAACCAATCAAATTAAAGCAAAATCCGCTGAAAGGATCTTATACCCAGAATTAAACTTTGGATTGCAAGAGACAAACAAAAATCAGAAGAAACTAATTTCTGTAAGCTACCCAATAGATCAAGCCTATCAAAAACAGAATCTTCAGAATCTTGTAATACTAGAATTTAAACCATCAACATCTTGAATTGCCAAAGCATGTACTTAGTGCAATAAGAAAGTGTTTTATTTCCTTTTAAAAACAGAATGGTCCAAGTTCTTCCACCAAAAACAAGAACTGCAGTTCTGAGGAGTACTTATTTCAAAGTAAGTTTTAGGGAGAAGTTACGTTAAGATAACATTCCCACCCCACAAAATATTAAGCCTCAAAATACCAGCCTGACACCATCAAAACAGTCAAGCACTCCTGCTTTTTTCAAAGAATGTAGCAGCCTGAAAATCAAAAGATTTCAAGCGGTACCCAAGTCCTCTTTTTGAGTGGCTACAGATTTAGTTTTCCAGTTTTTTCCTGGCCATCTCCACACGCTTTCAAACAATCTTCCACTCCTGTTTTAAGTCATAGGTAAATGCCTCCCACTACGACCTGTTTTAGTTGTAAGTTCTAATTGAGTTTTTAATGTTGTACTTTGTTGCAAACAGTTTTTATACTTGCAAAATGCATGCAATAAAAAAATCACACTCCTCATATACAAGCATCTCAAGAACAGCAGGAGAGGCAGAAGAGTACTGGCTAGGGGAAAGACAGACAGCAAGAAGATGATTCTCCCAGATCTTCAGGAAAGGCAGAAGATTCCTCACGTTATAAAAAGCTCTCTTTGACTTAGGTAAAGTGCCAGGAGCACAACAGCCTGCATTGGAACTAATCATGGTCATGCAGACAAGATCTAGGAGTGATTCATAGTCTTCAGTCATCAGCTCAGTCTAAAATTTTGTGAGACAGACAATCCAAAGCCGAAGTACTCTTTCTGGTTAATTAATGAAAGTTTTTCAGAATTTCAAACACTGGGTGTTTTGCCCCAAGCTTTGCTTTAGAAGTGACACTAATGTGAACTTCACTGATGAAAGACTCTGGCCTCTCCACAGCTCACCAACAAATCTATTTTCTGCTGGAAAGCCAATTACAGTCATTTTAATGACAAACACATTTTCAATGAAGTCGTTGTAAAAAATGTACTCCAGATAACTTCAGAAATTATTTTAAGATGGCCTTTATGTTTTAAGAGAAGTCCACTTTAAACGTACATGTTCCATATTTCCCAATACGTTTGTGGCTTTATCAATTTGCGGCTTTATCAGGAAGTCGCAGTCCCAAGTACATGGACTAACTAAAGCGCACTCTCAAACGCATTTATAGTGCCAGAAGTCCACACAGGCACAAGGCACCTCTATTTACCCAAACCTGTCAACTCTATAAAACTTTAAAAACAGGAAGTACTGTTTTCTAGAGGAATAATCGCTCCCGAGATTCTCACAAAGGCGACAGAGCCGCCCTACCCTGGGGGTGAGCGGTGCCGGCGCTCTGCCCGCTGAGGGGCGGGGGGCACCGGGCACCCGGCCCGAGCCGCGCCCGGCACAGGGCACAGGGGCACGGAGCAGGTCGTGCCTGCCGGACCGCTGATTCCTCCGCCAGGCCCGGCTTGTCCGGTCAAGAGGAGCGGGAGGAAGAGGGCGAGGCCGAAGCCGCTCGCAGGTGACCCGCGGACACCAGGTGCGAGCCGCCGCCGCCGGAGACGGCTCGGAAGCGGCGAGGCGGCTCAGCCGCCGGCGGGGCGGGCGCCCTCTGCAGCCGCCCGAGCCCGCTCCCCGCCCGCCGCCACGTGCGGACGGCCCGATGCCCTCGGGCCACTTCTTCATCCCCCGCGGCCCGGCAATGTCACCCCGAGAGCGGGCAGCCCAGCCGGGACGAGCTGCCCCCCTGCCCCGCCTGCCGGACTCCCCCTCCTCACCAGGTGCCTCGCAGCAGAACGGCCAGGACATGCCCGAGCAGCAGCCACAAGCGCGGCGCTCCTCGGCACTCGCCGCCTCGACGCCGGGCGCGGGGCACGGCTGCACCGCACCCGGCCCGTCCTCCCGGCCCGGCGGCACCTCCGGCTCCAGCCCGCCCGCTGCGGGAGCAGCGTCGCCCTCTCCGCCCTGACACAGCACCATGAGGACGCGGAGCTGCCGCGATGCTCCCGGCGGCTCTCGGCTGCCGGCGACACCTGCCCTCCTGCGCATGCGGTGCGGCCGCCCTGCGCCGCCCGCCGCCTTCCCTCCGCCCGCCCGCAGCGCCGAGCACCCGCGGGGGAGGCTACACCGGGTCCCGGCTCCGCCACCCCCCGCCAGGCCCCGCCTGGAACCGGCCGGGCGGCTCGGCCCTCCCGCGGCGGGTACCTGCCTGCGAGCCCGGCGGCGGCGGAGCGCCCCTGCCGGGACAGGAGGCAGCGCCCCGCCGCTTCCTTCCTGGCGTCCCCCGGAGAGAGACCCGGCGAGGGCAGCGGGAGCGGTGCCGGGGCGCAGCGAGGCCGTGGTGCCTCGGGAGGGGGAGCTCTGACCCCGCCGGAGAGCGGAGAGCGGAGGGGGCCGCGCAGGCCGCGGCTGTTTCCGAGCAGAAGAGATAAAAAACACTGGGAAAAGGTGACGCGAAGTTATTTTAGGGGCGTTGTTGCGTCATTTGCGCGCCCGAAGTGAAAGCACCGCTGTGTGTGCCCGCGGCACTGACCCCTCTCAGCTCAGCCCGGCCGGGCTCATCGGCCCGGGCACTGCCCCGGGATGCTGCCCCCGCCGCAGCCTCGCCTGGCCTGGCTGGCACGGAGGGAATTCCGCTGCAGCGGGCTCCGCGCCCCGTGGAAGAGCAGGGATGGCACCCGTGAGCCCGTGAGCCTTGCTGTGCCAGCAGGCAGGGGCAGCGCATCGCGCCCTGCAGGAGCTGCTGCCTGCTCCGGCTGCACGCTCGGGGCAAGATGGAGATGGGAGCCTGGTGGGTGATTCAGTCAGGATTGTTAGTAAGGTACAGAGGTGTAGCCACCTCCTCGTATGTTTTCCCTAAGAAAATAATGCCGCCAATTCCTTTGGGTAGGCGAATAGGAAAGGGTAGAGAGAAAAACAGGAGTAGCCCTTTTTCCTCAGCTATTAAAAAGTGCATAGTAAAAGAAGCAGAATAAATTTAAAATGCTATTTTTTCCCCTTTTGAGCAAGCTGAACTGTTATCAATAATTAAAATGGGAGGAATTTCTATTAAAAGGAAAGATTTATGCTCACATTAATCTCTTAGCTGCATAAATTAATCTCTGTTTATTTCTTTATTCTTAACAAAGGGAAATGTAATCTACAGCTTTAGCAAAATGAATGCCAAATGGTAGATAAAAGCTATTTCCTACAAACGATTTTAAGTTTTCCCTCAAGCTACCTCATAAAGCTATTTCAAGCTTTTGGTGTCTCTAATTTAGCACATTTTATAGTCCACCCTAACCCAGCAGAGGCTGTAAGTATTTCATTATCTTGGAGCCAGCAGTTGATTAATATGACCAGAATTGTTTCACAAATTGTTCTTAACTAAAAATTAGATGTGCTATGTCAGTTATTAAAATCAGAGAAATCAATTAATAAGGTTGTGTTGAAATAATAATTATTTCTAAATATTTACATTATCTGAACCTCTGTTGGTATAAACCAAGAAAATAATTAAATATATATGCCGCAGTATTTATAAACACCTTGTGTTACAGTTCCTATAAATATAGTTCTCTACAAAGTCTATACTGAAAGCTTTACTAAATCTTTCCTCTGGAGATACAAAATTTCCCAACTTTCTCTTAATTAAGAACTTACTTTTTCTTAATGCACTGCTCTGTTAATCAGAGTTTGGTTTAATTTAGAGAGAAAGGTGCAAATAAACCGGGCAGGCTGCTGCTTTCTGAAGAAACTTCCACTTCTCTGCACTCCAAGGCAGCTTTCACAGGCCACTGTTCGTGAATCGCCAACACAAAGTTAGTGCTGTCCTTCCCCAGGCAAATTTTGGTGGAAGGGCAGCCATCCCAGGCTGCTGATCCCAGAAGTGTCTCAGGGGAAGACCTGGCACATCCCCTGGGCAGTGGGGGTGCAGCAGAGCACACCCTCCCCAGTTTTTGTGGCTGTCTGCACAGGCACTTGGTGAGTTGCCTTTGGAGTCAGTAACAGCAGAAGCAGCTGGCTAGCTCAAGTCTTCAGTGAACAAAACCAGAGCCCAAACACGGTCCACAGTACAGACACAGAACAAATTTTAATGAGTTCTTACGATTTCTGGCTATTTGTTAAAATGTGCAGATTTTATATTTATTTTGTAATAGTAAATTTTTTTAAGTGCCAAGTGCTGATCTGTAGAGAGTTTCAAAGAGACTGCAACAACCCCCTCCGTACCCCTCCGTGTCTGGTTTTGAAAGGGAACATCTGAGGGCAGTGTTTGTTTATGCCAAGATACATGAAGTGTTCTGTTTGCTCCTGGTCAAACTGCCAGATTTGTCTCAGCTTGAGAGCTTCCAAGTTCTCCTTGTAAAGTACAACCCTCTTCTCTGAACAAGGAAACAGTTGCAGCTGCCCAAACTAACCAGCAGGCAAATGTAATTTGCAGGCATGCTGCCCTAGATTGAAAAATTAAGTACCTGCATAAATGTGCAGGTCAATGTCTTGTGCAGCTTTTTCAAGTACAGATTAAGTCTCATCTGTGTGATACTGTGCCCAGAACTAGTAGCTCCTTTCTCCAGCACATCACCTATAATGTCTTTACTGAGTGCAAACTTCATAAGAAAAGGCTCTAGTAAATGTGGGTAATTTGATAATTGAAATTAAACTGCAGCAGCAGCTAGAATGGCATTTATTTGGTTTCCATAATATCATAAGTGCAGAAAGTGAGCCACCTCCTGCATAGTCACCACTCTCTTAGGTTGCTCTTTCCAAAGGAAGAACATTATCATCCTCATCCAGAATTCAGGCACAGGTTTTGTCATTATAAATGCCAGGAAAAACCCAGTACTCCACTGCAGGTACTTGCAAGTCTTGTCATGAGCCACTGGTCTCAGACTGTGTGTCTGGTAAGGAACCCTTTGGTTTCCCTCTCCCCCTCTGCAAATGCTGTTTCTGACTCCTCTGAGTGGCTTTCCAGAAACACTAACAAGCACAAATGACAAAGCAATTAAGTAAGTTTTGTGGAGAGCCATGGGACTTTTCCAAGAGATTATAAGAACTTTATCCACTATCACATAACTTCTTTTATCCACTGCTGATATATTCTAATAAGCTTTTTGGAACACTGCTGCTCTTGGAGGTTTAGTGAGAACTAAATAATATAAACTGAGGGAGCCCTGGAACTGACCTGGCCCTTACTCCCCTCTCCTAAGGGCAGCACTAAGAGCTCTGCAGAGCTCCAGCAGGAAAGACATCTGGACTCCTGGTACACAGAGCACCCTGGTGTATCCCAGTTTTGTCTGAACATAGCTGTGTCAGCACTATTATGTACTGCTTAAGCTATAAAAGTGGTAGATTTAAATCAAAACAGTAGTCCATATCAATGACTTTTATTCTGTAAAAATGCCAATTCTGTAAAACCAATTTTTTTAAGTTTAAGTTGTCAAGCAAAAAGTTCATCCAAAGAAATATAGACTATTGTGAAGTAACAAAAGAAATAATACTTCCATGGTTTCTGAAAAGGTTTGACTAAAAAACAGATGAGAATTACTTTCTCAGCTTCTGAAATGGATCCAACTCTTAAGTGCATTGTAATAACCATTTACCTCTGCACCCAAGTGCCATAAAACAGCTGATTATTGCAGCACCAAGGAGTTTAATTGTCCTGGTCATTCATTCCAACTTGTGTCCAACCCAGAGTTGTTTGGCAATCAGAATAGCAGAGGTTGATGGGCACATCTGGTGCCCTGAGAGGTCACCTACTCCACCCTTCCCTGCTCAAAGCAGGGTCAGCTGGAGTTCAGGACTGTCTCTCTCTTGGGATTTTGAGTATCTCCAGGGATGGAGACTGCACCACCTCCCTGGGCAACATGCTCCTGTGTTCAATCACACATTAAAAAAAATTTAAAAACAAAAGTTATGTTTAAAACTAATGAACACTTGTAGTCTTGCAGCCCAGTGAAAATGTGGTCTATATGAGCTCCCGCCTCCCCATCAAAATTCCAGTTTGTCTTAGTGGGTTTTATGTCCACCTCAGGTGTTAGAAGAGACCTGTATTTTTCAGCTCCCCTGTTAAGGTGGATGGTGAATGATTCTCGGTTTTGCCATCAACACAAATTGCTTCTGCATGTATGTATAGGACTGTTGTACAAACATTTTAATCTTGTGTCACAGTGTGCTACAAGTGTCACAGTTTTCTTCTTTCTGAGTTGGTGGTAGTAATGAATAGTATTATAAAACAGGAGATGGGATGGAAAATAGGAATTAATAGGGAATCCTGCAGTTGTGGTCAATATAAGGGAGATATCCTGAGGCTCTTTTTAACTGCATTTTCCAGATTGCACTACTAGCAGTTGCTCTTCAGGAGACTGAAAGTATTGAGATAGGTAAATTCAGTAGAAGTAAGAAGTAATAAAAGTTCTCTGGTCTCCAGAATGAAAGACTTTATTTTCTTTACTTCTGAAGAATTGAAAAATAATGGATAAGCAGGACAATATTAAAATTCTGCTTCTATACTTGTCAGGGTGCTTTCAATCCAGTATTAAAGGTATAGTGCTTAGCTGATTTTGGTCATATAAAGGTCATGCTTCTGTCCTCCGATGGCTTAACTGCACTGCTTGCTAAGCAATCAAGTCTCTGTAGCTAGTATTCCTGGAAGGATAAATTAAAAATAATTTTCTGTGTACTCTGAAGACCATAGTGTTTTCATTCTTGTATTTCACATATGTCTGGAGAGCTTATGCAAATTTAGATGGTGATCCATAAATTTAAAAAGTTATGTATTTTTTTTTTATTCTCTTTAAGCATGTGGAAGGCTGTTATTCCAATACATCTTGGACAAAAACATATTTTCTTTTAATCTCCTAATAAAAAAATCTGTCTGATTCCTCGTTTTTCTTTCTCTGTTTATTTCCACCTAAGAAAATAATCATGTAAGCAAACCAATAGAGTGAACTTCAGTAACTCACTGTTGGAAAAGAAAATGAACAGTAGTACTGGTTTTGTGGATCATTTGTGTTTGCCACAGGCCAGAACACTGTAAGTTTTGTAAAGCACAGTGGTGGTGGGTGGCATTCAGACCTTGGCCTGGCACTCTGAGGAAGCAGCAGCACTTGCTGTCGTACTGCAGTGAAGTTTTATAGATTGTTAGGTAACAAGTGTATCATGCTAATCTCAGTGAAAGGAATTTTTAACAATAAATGTGTATTGACACAGCCT